TGTCTATGCCTCAACTCTTCAGTATACTATAACGATCAAAGACTTCTCATGTAGAGAATGTATTTAACAATATATAGCACCCAGTTATACATCTATCATGAGTTAGATATCTAAGTATAAGTAGCACATGCCACTCATATCTTAGGAACTATCAGAAGAAGAAAATAAGGAATGAAATTATGAGAAGACATTATCCCATGGGGTGTTTGGAGCACTTCATTAATTTTCTCTGGCAATTTCAAAAATCAATTATTAGATAGAATCTAACTGATTCCCAGAACTCAGACTGTGAGACTGGAGGCAGAGACCTGAAGTGTTCGAATGCACTTGAATTCTCTCACATTTGGCTTACATTTTATTATATTAAATAAAGAGTTGAAAAACCAGGTTTTCATCAAATCCCTCTCTTAAGTATCAACAGTCCACGTGTACTAGGATCTTTTACTATCTTTTTTGAGGAAACCTCAAATTTGCAAAGGCAAATCTAAGCTACTTTTCTATGGAAGATAATTCTTTCCTGACCAATTGACTGACACACATGCAGCAGTCTTAAATTGTCCCAGGTACTGCCCTCTGAAACATGCAGAGTCAAAACCTAAGCAAAGCAGGCATCCTGGGAAAAGTGATGGCCAATAAAATCTCTTTGATAGAAATGTCTTCACACAAGAATCAAAGTCTGAGAGTAGATGACTTAAGACCCTTTAACAATAGTGTCGGAAGAACAAGGCAATATATTTAACATAGTAAAATGAAAGTAATTATTTCACTCTTCTACAGTTTTGAACCTCTCTCCAAGTAGAACTGGTGTCCGGATCCCTCAGGCAGATGTTACACCTATGCTCATTACATCCACCTCTGCAAGAACATGAATTTTCACCTGCCTTTGAGTGCTAAGCATCCTGACAGAGTCACAGAGTTCTAATTATCCAGGAAGGCCTCCTATCTATCTGATCCTTAACAGGTGTCACACAGATTGAGGACTGAAATAAATGCTTTCAAGTTTGACATTATAGGTATAATGATGTGTGGTCCATGCAAATGCAGTGGTATGGCATGGCATGAGTGAAATTTGTGTGAGGCAGATAGAAGGAAGATGGATCACTATAGCTGTGTAGACATGTGCATTGATGCATGCATCCAGATAATTTTGTCAGTGAGGTGAATGAATGGAGTAAGGCAACAGAATGAAGAGTTGGACATACAGCTTAGCTTGTAGAGTGTTTGCCTAGCATGGACAAAGCCTTGGGTTCCATCCTAGCACCACATCAATGCAACGTGGTGGTACCTGTCTGTAATCCCGGCTTTGAGGATGTGGAGTAAGGAGGATCAGGAATTCAATGGCAGTCTGCTATTCAGTGAGTTCATGGTCAGCCTAGACTGAAGACCAAAATAATTCTATCTGGGTGAAATGTTAAGATTCCAGCCTAGACATAGAAGGCTAAAGAGCCACTTTAAGATAATATTCCCCAAAGTTTGGCTCATTACTCATTCATGCTGGATTCAAGATGGTCTGTTATTGTACTCAAGAAGAAGGTGGACACATAAACCTATAAGTGTGGTTTATAACTGAAAGCTTTGAGATGGTTCTGGCTTCACTCTCCATATACAAACTATCCACTTCCTGTAGGCTGGGATAGCTACCACCTAATAGAGACACTGCACTCAGAGATGGACCTGAGTTCCTATAGGCCAAACAAGCTTAGATACATAGACAGTGACATCACTGAACTTGTAACGAAGACTCACATTTTGGGAAGGTACTTGCTCTCACCTTTGCTTTTTAAGACCTTCACTCACATGACATCAGGTTATTAAGCAACAAGCCAAATGGCTGCTCTCTGGCAGGTCAGGGGTGTCAATTGTGAGACAAGAGAGCACAGAAATGAGTCAGAACCTCATATGGCATTTGCAGACTGGAGTTTTGAATCTCTTTGCTTTGTTTTCAACTTTTCTCTCTCTGGGAAATCAATTTTATTTTTATCTCTAGTCTCCTCCTGGATGATTTACAGTCACATAGTTCTGTCAGCACACACCAGGAATAACATTGCAAATACTAATTATGAACCTTAAATTCTTGGCTTTTAAATAATTAAAAAAAATTTGAAGGCGTACCGACACAAACAACAGTGTGTCTTCATAATCTGCATGGTTCAGGGAAATACACACAATATAAATCTTTAAATGCAAAGCAAGATCTGTTTTAGAAACAGATACATAAGGGAAATTAACTTTTGTAGACCTCAAATGCCAGAAATAAGCTTTTGATCCCTGAGGGCAAACATTCTTGAGCTACGCTTCACCACATAATTACTATCGTTTTCTTAGTTAAACTTTCACATTCCCTACTGGCTGGTTTTCTATATAAACTTACTTTTACTTCTAATTACAACACTATAGAGATGAGAATCAGGTCTAATTAAATAAAAATATGAAAATAATTATCATTCCCCTATCTCCTACCTTTGAAAGATGCCTTTTTAAAGAAAAATGTATCCGGTCCACAGATTGACTAGAAATAAAGGGCACATGCTTACACGTCCCCACCCCCCATCTCCAGTCACAGAGGCTGGTGTCTGCCAGTCTTGTGTCTCGAATACATGCATTCAGCACCTACTCTGTTAATCAGCTGCTACACACAGGTACTATGGCTATGAAAATGAACTAATTGCAGGTCTGCTCTGGAAATAAATGAGCTAGAACTAATCCCTCAGTATGAGAAGTGCCACACAAGTCTGTGAGGCACATTTACGGATCAGTGCGGAGCCTTTCCTTCACGATCACACACACAGTGAACGTGCAGAAAGATTCTCAAGCACAATTGCATCATTCCTTTCCATCTGACCCCAGAGAATCCCAGACCAAATAAAAGAAGGGATGCATGGCTTTCTGTCCATACTGAAGAATATAAATGGGTAATAGCAGTTCATCAGAACATGCATTTTTTGAACAGAAAATATTCCTGGCGCATGCTGGCATTAAAGCAGCAACTATAGAGAAAGAGGTGATGGACTCTGAAAGTTTGGATCTGGGGTGAGGAAAAGAGGAACACAAGGACGTTTCAGATGTTTACAAGGGGTCTGGCTTTCAAATAGAGGGTAAGGTATGGAGTATGAGCACATGTGTGTGTGTGTGCGTGCACATAGGCAAATGTGTATGTGTGCATATACATGCTCGGGTGTATGTGCATGAACATTTACAGGTGTGTGTGTGCATGCGTGTGCACATGCACATGTGTTTGTGTATATGTCTGTGAGCATGCACAGGTACTTGCACAGGTGTATGAGTATAGATATACAGATGTGTGTATACCTGAAGAAGTATTTGTGAACATGTGAGCATGCTTATGTTCGATCTTGTGCTTGTCTTTGTAGTTCATATGTGTACCTGTATGTGTATGCTTGTGTTGCATGTATGTGCACATGGGCCTATATATGTGTGTGCATGCGCAGGGCTGACATCCTGGTAGAAATATTTTCTCATACTGTTGGCGATGAAGTGCTCTGCTCCTGAGATCCAAGCATTGGAACTACTTAATTCTTAGGAGCAAACTACTGATAACTGAACTAAATGATGATAGCTTAAAGGAAAAAGAAAGTGAAAAGGCATATAGAGAAGACAGCAACCACTAAAAACATTCCTAGAAAGGAAGAGATCAGGAGGAAGAAATAATTCAAGGAAACAAAAATGGGAAAGTTGGGGATAGAGGCCAGAGATGAAATTAAATGAAGGTCCAAGGACAACACCATGAAAACTATGCTACATCCACAGGGGAAGCATTTGGCCAGTTTTCAAAACATCCTGACCTATTTCTCTCATGACAAATATGCCCTAGCATTTAACACTTCTTATTTTGTCATTACTCAGGATATATGAATAATTTACAGTAATTTGTTGCCAGATACTGCAGTGAGAATACAGGGTCATAGCCGCCCTGACCTGAAAGTGACTTAATTGAATCAGGTCTTACCCTCAGGGTTGGAGAAGGTCTAGGTTTAGGTCTTTTCATGGTTGCAGAGCTGAACCCAGTGAATTGAGTTTTCGGTGCTAATCACCTATATTTTACCCTTTGAGATGCACATTCAGAAACTCTAAAGTGAAACTTGTAGACTGTCTTCCTAATGAGATCCCTAGAAAAATGTTGAGCAGATGGCTTGGAAAATATGACAATTAACTATACTTCTGGTTCTTAAAAATCCTCATAGATTGATATTATCAAGTTTTTATGCCTTCTATGCCAAATAGTCAGAATACTAAAGGATTTTTCAATGGCTTGTAATTATCTAAATGGGAGCACATAAAATGTGAAAAATAAAACAAATTAAGAGTATAATTTTGTCTGATTCACATGTTTCAAAAGAACCATTTACTATCTAATCTTAAATTTATCTCCTGTCGTGATTTGATTTTAATCCAGGTATGTAATATCTAATATGTAATATTTAATAAATCCATTGATTAATTAATTAATGCAATCTTTGATGTTTGTCACAAAGGAATCTTAGCCCATTTCCACAACAGCGAAAGGAACTCTGAATATTTCAATTATGTGCCAAAACACTAATTAATCACATTCACTAAACTAAAAGTTTTGAAAAACCAGGTATCAGCATGTTTGTACGTAGTAGCTACTTCATACCCCACATATATTGTATATGTTACTGTTAGTGTGTGTGTGTGTGTGTGTGTGTGTGTGTGTGTGTGTTGTATGATTGCATGTGTGCATGCATGCACATTTCTTTATGTAATTCATTCCTTTTACCATGGTTTTTAGGCACCAAACATAGGACATGTGACTTTATGCATGAAGAATTTTTACCCACTGAACCATTCTGCTGCCAGCCCAAGGTATTCATTTTTATTTGAAACACTGACATCAACTGGGAAGTTTCTAAAGCTGTGCCAGTTGTATTTCTGAAGCTAATTTTCATTTCCCAGGAAGAGCAATGTGTGATTCCCTAGGAATGGCTTCTGCAAGTTCATCCTGCAGCCAGTGGAATTACCTGAATGACACTGTCCCCAGGACTCATGTCTGTGTAAACGTAGACATCATAGGAGATTTCGGGGAAGGTTGGTGTATTATCATTTGCATCCATCACTCTGATATTGACCACAACTGGTTCACTTTCTTGTACTCCATCAAATGCTGTTATCTGTGGAGAGACAGAACACACTAGTGGAGAAAACACATAAACATAAGAGCAAAGAAGTTACTCTAACACGCTAATACATTTTTAATGCAATTTAAAAATATACTAAGCTATGTTTTCAATAAAATGAATTAGTAAGACACGAATTGCAAATATCTAAAGTGTTTCAATGTGTTAAGAAGCAATTAGTAAGGCCTCCACACATGGTTACAAGAATTTTAGGTTCTGCCCAGGATGAAATGACAGACTTTAGAGATCCCCCCCAAGGATGGTCTCACCCTCCCTGGAGAATGATGTGGGGATTGGGTGGGGGGCTGGGGGACTGGTAGAGGGACAAGGGAGGAGGGGTAGGAGAGGGAGCTGGGACTGGCATGTGAAACATTCATGTTTCTAATGTAAATAAAAACGTATATTGAGAAAAAAACAATAAGATGTGGGAAAGTTTTAGAAGTTTACTGCGGACCAGTGACATTGCTGACACTTCAAAGTTAAATACATTTGTTGTTATTGTTTTTGAGACAGGAATCCTAAAGCTCCAGCAGACCTCAAATTCATTATATAGTTGAGAATGACTATGAATCTGGCCATCTCATATTCCTACTTTTACCTCCTAATTTGGGATTACAGGCATGCACCACCCCATTTAATTTATGTAATGATTGGGATTGAACGTAGGACTTAATGGATGCTGGGCAAGTACTCCACCAACTGAGCTAGGTACAATTAAATATCATATATATATACATATATATGAAATTTTTATGACTATAAAATTTGCACACAAGCCAATTATTTCACAATTAGCATTCTTAGTTAAGAAATCTCAGGCCCTGTATAGGTAATGTAATATTCTATTGATATGTAAAATGGTGGCATAAATGATTCATCAACATTCATTACTCATACTGTCTTAATTACAGACCTTATTGACAATTTATAAGTACTTAATATGCATCATTGTGTAGCTATCTGTTGGCCATCTTACTTGAATGACTTCAAAATTCTACTATATATCTAAGTTGTAATTGTCAAATGGGGCTTTCTGGTGGCTACAATCACATGCTAAGTGGACTCTTCCAGAATAAGCTCTTAAGTAAGCCCCATGACTTGTGTCCTTATATCATCCACTTTTCTCTTATGCTGCATTTGGGAATTTGAATATAAATAAACTTGCTTTGACCTCAATAACATATGAGTGTTTGGTACAATTATATTCTATACCATGATAAATAGCTACAAACTACATCTCTAATGACCTTCATTCTCCCTCTAATAACTCAAGCCCAAGGTCTTTGTCTCAATATTACTCACATCTGGTACAAATATTGTCTGGTGCTGGGCTCCTTGTGCACTGTGGGATGCCCAACAGCACTCATTGCTTCCACGAGTATATGCCAGGAGCATCCTCCCACATCAACAGGTGCCCCTTGGAGGTGGGAGTCATTGCTAGTTGAGAACCACCAGCTTCAGACAGCAGTGAAATTGAAAATGCATCCATGTGGTGATATCTTATTTATGACTTATTAAAGTTTGCCAGAGGGCACAGAAAGCAAAACTCACCACAAGCCACAGAGGCAGGCAGTGGTGATACACACTTTTAATCTCAGCAGACATACTAGCAAGCCACAGATCCAGGCAGTGGTGGTACATATCTTTAATCCCAGGATTTAGGAGACAGGCAGATGGATCTCTGTTAGTTCAAGGCCACACTGAGCTACATGAAATTGATCCAGTCCTAAAGAGAAACAGCTCACACAAAGGTGATCTCAGCACTTGGGATCACATGACTTTAATCTCAGGATTTCAGAGTATAAAAAGAAGAAGCATAGTCAGTCTCATAGATTAGTCTCAAGCCACATTGAGGAGAGCATAGTAGTCTGAATTACCTTCTGAGGATTAGGGGAGACAGAATCACTCATTTCAGTCTGAGGTACAGGTGAGTGCTAGTGGCCAGGCTGCTTTGCTTATCTAACCTTAAGCTCAAACCCCAATATCTGTGTGTGGGTTTATATTTTTCATGTTACACATCCACACCACAAACGTTAAAGCTAATGCTTTATTTGCTGGGTTTCACTTTAGATCACTCACTCCCATAAGGTAAAGATAGAAAAATATTTTTCTCTAGTGAGTACATCATACCACTACTCTCCAAAGGCACATTCCCCAATTGTTACTCTCCAAATTGCACACATTCATAAAGAGTAAAAGGGAAAAAATGAATGTATTGATATTTTTCTTCTTCCTGACATGGCATGTTTATCCCCACAGATCAATGTCCTTATCAACTTCAAGAACAGTTTCAACTATGAGAGTATAAACATATGAAATATTTTACCAGAAAGGTATACGTTTGCTGTTCCTCCCTGTCCACAGGCTGAAGTAGGGTAAGGTAGCGGGTGATGCCAGTGGGTGTGACAGTGAAGACAGAGGTGTAGCCATTCAGAAAAAGGTGGAGCTCTGGATCTTTTGTCTTTGAAAGAAAATACATAATTTAAAAATGGTGATCATACAATGGACTTTTAGTTTATCGCCTGGAAATTCAGCTTTGCAATTTATTATAAATAATGACATTACATTAAACAATTCCTAAAGAGATATTCAAGTACACTTACTCACAAGGAACCAAAGCCATACAACAACATGGGTCACGGAATACTGATGTGAGTGTTGACACAATTAATGTAAAACAAGAAAAACAAGTTAATTGAATTACTTCTGCTGATCGTTTAATATAAAATTTTCTGTGCTTTATTGAATCTAAGATATAAGAAATAATAGGAAGAAAGGAAAATTGGAGCCTAGAATTTCCCTGTAAAATTTTATAGGCACTTCATTTGTAGCAATAAACTGAACATATGCATGCTACTGTGTTGCTCTCACTTTCAATGTAAAACAGGAATAAAATTGGTGATGTATTATTCATTACCCATAAATATTAGGCTTGCTTTTTCTGTCTCATCTTCATACTGTAAAGTTCTTCAAAGGAAAACACAATATTTTAATTAAAATATTCCAGATGATTTGCTAGAAAATATATGTAAACTTAATACTTGTGCCTGTCAAAAAACCTAGAGAAAATTATACTATAGGAGAAAAATAAAAAAAAAATTCAGTACTAATACTATTAGCATAGTATCGAAAACCCTTCATATTTTGGGTGTCGGTGGTACACGCCTTCAGTTCCAGCACTCAGGAGGCAGAGGCAGGGTGATCTCTGTTTGTTCGAGGCCAGCCTGGTCTACAGAGTGAGTTCCAGTGAGTGCTTCTCCAAAGCAATACAGAGAAACCCTGTCTTGAAAAAAAAGAAAAAGAAAACCCTTCATGGTTTTGCTCATTCCCCTTTCAAAAGTAAGACACCATTCACTGCTGTTTAGAGAAGGGATGGACACAAGGTTACCCGCTTGCTCAGTGTACAAGGAAGGAGCTGGAATGAATGAAAGGGAATCTGGGGAATCCAGTACAGTTAAGACTTATCAAGCTGGGTGATACAGGAGACAACTATGTTTATGTGTGTTCCTCTTAAAATATTATCATAGCTATGATGTACAATATGTATAAGAATGCTTTCCAAGGTCTCTTGCTAAGTATTAATCACATATTGCAGGGCAGGGAATTGTCACATGTGTTAATTTGGAGAAAAATAAGATCTTGCATTTAAAATTTTCTGTGTAGAAAGAGAAAATAGATACTTATATAAAAGTGGGCATACTTTGAACCACACGCTTCCTTCAGTAGATTATCCTGTGTGATTATTTGTGTGCATTTCAAATATCTTCAAAATGAATGTTATTCATGTGACCCTGCAATACAGTTTGTGCTGAGGTTTGTCTGTGTGTACTTCTGTGCCAATGCTTTGGGGATCAGGTTGGTGCTCTATTTTCTTCTCAGAACAATCAAGGAAGAGTACTATCAAGACTGACTTACTTTGTCTATTGGATTTTAAATAATGAAATCCTTCATCCCAGAAGAGCCAAGAACCTATACTCTTATGTCTTCAAATGGGTATTTGACATGCCTAGTATATGGGTTAAACTGATTGAGGAGCTATGTTAATTTCACAAAATGAAATGATTATGAAAAATTACATCTTGATCCACATTCTTGAAAATTCTTCCTTTCTCAAATAGTAGTATCAATTTTGATGAAATTCAGTTATTAATTTAAAGATGACCAAAAATAGTGAGCTTACCATTTCACAAATAAGCTAATGTTTACCAGTGTTATTCTTAATTTTATCAAATTACAAAACTTAAAAATTTACATTACTTTTTATTTTTCTGTTCTCCGGGTGTGTTGCAAATATTGCTACCAGAAACATTCTTTCTACTCATGACTCCAGGTTCCTGTGATGCAGATGCATAAGTTTTGAGATAATATTTGTTTAATAACAATGTAATTCTCCCTTCTGGTTCACATCTTCCATTATTCTCTTCTCTCTTTGTGCCTACATTTCCTTCAATTTATTCTCTTCCATATACTGTAGGTTTGTGAAGTACACTCATTAATACATTTACATGTGAGCACTGTGACAATATAATATTTCCATGAATATTAACTTGTCACCCTGCATATGCTTATGTGACTGTAGTAAAATAACAAATTCCAAATGGCAACATTTTCTTTGACCAGTTTTGTGAAGATACAATGATTTTCCACATCGGATGCTGCTAATTGGATTATCAGTACACACAGGTCTCCATCTATAGTAATACTAAAGTAGTTCTGATGATCTCAGAGTGTCAGTGTCTTGAATCGTCCTTTGGAAACTGACTATTGATGAGATAGTGTATCCTAGAGCTAACAAACTAATGCCTTACATGGACCTGTAATACACTTCGGCTTACTCTGCTCTTAATCTCTTACTACAGCAGAGCTTTCCTTGACATTTATGTTTATTTATAACAGGAACCTTTTAAATCTCTGTAATGTATGCGCAGATGCTATCACTAAATACCTTAGTGATCATTCAAGAACAATACCTTAGTGATCATTCAAGAACAAACATTTATGTCAGTGTTGGAAACATTGAGCAAATGGTCACTTAAGTGCTGATATTTTAGATCGATCTGAAGGTTAGTAATGAGTTATAAAATAGGTTATACTTTTGATGACTTAAATAAAAATGCCATGATCAGTATCAAACTTCATGTGTCAACATAAACAACACCAACACTTTAGAATTTTGTAAGTAGAAATTTCATCTTTTTTGGCCAGAAACATTTTAAATATGCTAGAATTTTGGCAAAAAACAACCTGTACATTGAGTCAAATATCATTTTCTCAAGTCATCCTTTGACATTATAATATTAGAGTTTGGATTTTATAAGAATAATTGACTTTTCATACATTTATAGAGTCAGCTTCAGGAAATATTGGTGTGTTTGAATTGCCTTGGAACATAAAATAGCCTAGACTCCTGGGCTTCACAGAATAAGATGTGAATAGAAATATTTTGCCACATAGACAGGTAATCTGACATCATTTTCCCACAAGTCCAGGAGAGTTCATATAGCAGTCATATCTATGTGACTCTAAAATGAACTTCAATTTTTTAATATAGAGAATTTATTAATGAATAATGTTTTCTTCTGTTACATAGGATATAATTTATTTTACCCTAAAACCCTCATGTAGTATACATCACATATATGATTTATTAGTGTATTGCTTTGGAAATTGTTTGGGGTAGGGTAAAACAAACTCCAATTCACTCACAAAAAAGGAAAAAAATCAAAACCAAACCAAATGTAAATACAAAAGAGAAAATAAACATTTGAATGTAAAATAAAATATCAATTAAACTTTCATTGTATAGGCCTGTGTTCACATGGCTGTTTGTAAGATGTGAAAACAGACATCTTAAATGAGTTAAAATATTATCACATACATGCAAGTCAATATGCATGTTTGCATACGTGCACATAAAACAAGTTTATATATGTGCCCATATACATGTATGCATATTCATGTGCATATAGACACATGATAGAGAATGCCAGGAAATGATAAAAATCATTAGTAAGTGATAATAAAATTTTATTTGAAAAGAAAAAGAACTAGAAATGATCCACACAGCAACCGGCAACCACAAAATCAACAACCTAGTACCTACAGGAACTCCACCAGGTGGCACCTATATGTAAATCAGACACAAAATAAGCATGGCAACATAAAGGTCATGACTACCCAATGCACATAAATATACAATAGTTGAAAAAAATAAATGAAGTTCATTTAAACTAACAATGTTGTTCATGAGATATACAATCATTTTTCCCTCAGCACTTTAACATATATGATAGAATTACATTTTGTAAGTATCAACTTGGAAGTACTTAATACCTTGAAAGTCATATTGATTAAATATCTTAAATCATCAACACTTATACTGAATTGTTAGTGAATCACTATCATTAAACAGCTAGTGAATAATTGTTGATTATCACTTCATGTGTTCTTACAGAAATGTTCAATGCTCAGCTTTTCCTGGCTCTGCCCTTGGAAGCGTAGTGGTCTCAGTTCTGCTGTAAAACTTGTGCATTTCTTGATGTTCTTCCAAGAACTATTTCAAAATTACACTGACTGTGATGCTAAATGATGTAAGTAAGTAAGCATCTCATGGATGTGTGCATGTTGATCTATGAAAAATAAAGCCTGATACAAGGATGTTCTCGTTAGTAATTTTTCAGACTTACAATGATGCTCAGAGTGTTTTTTTAACTCCTAGTCCACACTATGAATGGCACTGTAAGTCAGCAAGCTTGGCTCGCATTTCCTGAAATCTTGTCTCAGTTTTTCTTGGTAGAAGGAAAAAGCCATCTGTAGGATGTAATTTACCATCTGTAGGAACAGATCCAGTTGGCATGTGACCTTAGCCTTGACTATTCCCAAATCAACTCAAAGAAATCTTCTCCTGCATAGAGCCCTGGCTTCTCTTGCTTGAGGCCAATCACTTTTGATATTGGTAACAACTTCTTGAGGCAGCTCATTTCTGTAAGTGTTATTAGACCCCTGCCTTGTGCTGGATATTCTCACTAATTCTGGTCCCTCTCAGAGAAAACTTGTCCTATCAGGTAGTAAACAGTTTGACAGTAAGTTGAAATAAACCTTGATATTTATTTTTGTTAGTGTAGATATTTGAAACTCCTAGAAACGAACCAAATTCTTTTAAAAATATAAAATAGAGTTGGAAAGAAAAAACAGATGATTCAGACAGACAAATACCCATTTTCAAACATATTTATGCCCATTTTGTGATTCATTTCATGTTCCAGTGAATGTAAAATTTAAAATCATGGATGAGTTGTAAATAAATGGCTTACATCAGTATGGTACAGAGTTCACTAAGAATTGGAGTTGACCAACCATTGAAAGGGCCATACTGTGACTACCTGAGTCGACTAACTCAGTGTCATTGAACTATCTGAAGCACATGTTTGATGTCCCCATTCCTCCAACCATGTCTGAGTTTATCAGTACATTGGGGAGTTGTCAAAGCCTATCAAGTGGTAAGAAGTGGTATGAAGAGTAAACAAGTTATTGTGATATGAGATCTACCATGAAGAGATTTAAGCTCAGTGAAGGGGAAAGACTGATATTGCCAAGTCAAGAGTGTGTTAGACAAATAAACAAAAAGGGACACCCACCTCAGCTTGGACTATGGAAAATAAAAAGATTCTCCAATGAAGAACCACCAAGTGAATTACAAACATTAAACAATGTTAGCCAGCCAAAGCAGTTTATATAAAATAGGATGAGATCTTGCAAATCATAAAAGTGAGGCAATATCATTTAGCTAAGACGTTTTTTGGCAAATATGAGAAGTGCTATTGACTGCTCAAGCTCACCAGGAAGTTTCAGAAGCCAAAGATGGGAAAGTGTTAAGGTAACAAGAAGAGCCATGTGTATGTGATTGGTTATTCCTCCACAGAGCAATACATGTCTCTACATATCTCAAGTGCAAAGAAATCTAGTTTGTATTCTAATCTAAAAGTTTAATTAAAATAATATAAAAGTCTTTAGAAATATCACACAGTCATGTCTTGAGTTTTTGAAAAGTCACTCAATGTCCCTTTCTGACGTAAGAGAATCTTAGAGATGAGACAGTTACCATGTCTTCAAGTAGAGACAAATTAACAGAACTATTATTTAAAAATGTAGTCAAGATTAAGAGTAGAAGAAACAAAGAAGGACCAGAGAGTTTGACAAGAATGAGAAAGATAATCATAAAGACAAAGAGCAGAAGAGAACATTTAGTAGGAAGAGGCATATGGAGCAAGGGGGACATGGGAGTTGTCAGTCTCAGCTGACAAAAGGAACCTGAACTGTGTGATTAAAATTTAAGGATGTCAAAAGCAGTGCTATCCATTTAGCCGAATGTGATACTTATGTTTGTCAATTAAAATTTTGTAAAATTAAAACCAGGTGTTGTGGTACAGGCCTGTCATCCCAGGGCTTGTTTGGTAGAAACAGAAAGATGAAGAGTTCATGGCAGATTTTAGGGGATCAGGACAGTCCTGGGACCAGATGCCTCCTCGGAACTCAGCTATGTTCACCCCTTCCACCTGTCGCTTGCTTTCATTGCTATTTTAAATATTAGCCTATTGGCTACAGAGATGTCACAACCATTCGTGATATAAGAAATGATGTCAAGCTCCCTCGCTCTGCCTCTCCCTCCCTAAGTTCCTAGAGGACTCTGGGTTGACTCACATGGATGTTCTGTCCAGACTCCATGTAAAATCTCTCTGGCCAATGGGATAAATTGCCTTCATTTTGCCCAGCTGCACTGTTTTCCACTCATACCACAAGTTCAATACCACAAGACCAGAAGTCAGCCAGATGGGACCTAGGGAAATTGAAGCCCCACCAGCCACTGACTGAAGTATGCATGGGCCAATGACCCCCAAGCATGCATGGGTTAATAGCCTGCCATCACAATGGAAGGGAATCCTAAGATGCTACTCTGGGCTGATTTCAGAAATGGCTTTATATATATATATATATATATATATATATATATATATATATATTTGTGTGTGTATGTGGACATGTGGGGTGTGTGTGTGTGTATGTTTTGTGTGTATGTGTGATGCATGTGTATGGTGTGCAAGTGCTCCTACCGACATGTGGTATATATGTGTGTGTGTGTGTGTGTGTGTGTGTGTTGTGTGTATGTGTGATGCATGTGTATGGTGTGCAAGTGCTCCTACCTCTGTGTATATATGGAATGCATGAGCACATGGAGGTCAGATGTCAAAATATGGTATTTCCTCCACACCTTATTGTTAGCAGTCTTTCATTGACTTGGAGCTCTCTTACTGGCTAGATTTCCTTTATATGGGTGCTCAGACACTGAGCTGAGTTTCTCACACTTGTGAGGACACATCTCCTTCCTTAGTCCTACTCTCATGATTTTATATTCACTTAGTGATGCCATTATTTTTCCCAGTTACAAACTATATCAAACAGCTTTCAATTTATATTAACACAAAAGACCACCCTGGTGATTTAGCAAGCACCAAGTGAACAATTCATTGATTTTCATGTACAGAACAGCTACATTGAAGAACAGCAATTAAACGAAACACACCTTTAAAAATATTTCTGGTACAGGATTAAACTACAGTGCTAAGATTCACTATGCCAATTTTGTGTATTCTCTGCTTTGGGGTTTGTGTAGCTATTATTTTGTACTACTTCCTATAAACATTCAGAGATGAAGAAGATATCAATAAACAATAGCAAAGAAATTTATGGAACTTACATCTTCTATGTCTTTGTCCAGAGCTACAATTCTCAGAGGAGTGGTTAGGTTTAGGCTGTCAGAAATGGTGGCTCCCACTGGGGCAGATTCCAGGATGTACCCTTGATAGCTGGGCATTGTGAAATATGGGCTCTGATTGTTTTCATCCAGTATTTCGATGTGTAGACTAGCAAAGGCAGGAAGCGGGTGACCATTGTCCTGCTCAGCCTGAAAATTAAAGAAAAGATAGTTATGATGTCCTCTGGAGTGATGCTTTTCATGCCTAGGGTCCTTGCAGTGAGACAAACTGCTCTAACAAATGATGAGGAAGAGAAGTGGAGAACCTATATTGCTTAATTGCCTTTTTCAAATTCAGCATTCATTTCAGAAAAATGACTACAGTGAACTATCACTGTGCTATAAATGAAAAGAGTTGAGTGTGTTGATACACAGAAAGAAAGAAGGCAATTGCGATTGAGCTGCTGAAAATTCAAGGATACATTAAAAAGAGATTTATCAGGCAAATAAAAATCTTTACTTCTTTTTTTTTTAATCTTTTTTTTTTACAACTTCTTATTCCACACTGCCTGGTGTCCTATGTATGTGTGCATGCCCAAAGTTATATATTAAAATCCTAACTCAAAAGGGAGCAAGGGGTGGGACTTTGGGGATGAATACCTTGACAAATGTACAGCCTCTATCAGTGAGATTATTGTCCTTAAAACAGGCCACAAGTGGCCCTGGGGAGGTTGGCCTGTCATCTCAGCACTGCTTGAAAGACTCATGAGGATAAGAGTTCCAGGACATCCTGGGCTACACAAGAAGAACCATCTCATAAAGCAAAGACACATGCAAAGGCCCTAGAAGAACCTCTGCTGCCATGTGAGAATGGGTCAGACGTGACCAATATGAGAGGAGGCCCCCTTGCTGAAATGAACCTGCCAGAGCCTTGCTCTCAGACTCCAGAGGCCAAACATATAAGAGATTCACGTCATTGGCAAGCCACTGGCACTATACATTTTGTCATGGCACCAGCCCCAGTAATTGTTTTGCATAAATTAATACATGAAAGCCGCATTTATCATTTTGAAAAGGACCCGAGCCGGGCGTTGGTGGCGCACGCCTTTAATCCCAGCACTTGGGAGGCAGAGGCAGGCGGATCTCTGTGAGTTCGAGGCCGGCTTGGTCTACAGAGTGAGTTCCAGGACAGCTTCCAAAGCTACAGAGAAACCCTGCCTCGAAAAAAAAGAAAAAGAAAAAAAAAAAAAAGAAAAGGACCCGAAAGTTCCACCATAATTTTTTAGTAATTAAATGATTTTAAGGTTATTTACTGGAAATGCATCACTCACACATACTTGAATAAAACTGTACTAATGTATGTGCTTATGTTTTCATTTATTCTGTTTTTCTGAGCTATTTCTGCTCCACATCTGAAGGTTATGGAGTGGAAAGGGAAGAAAGGAATGCCCCCTGTGCCCCCAGGTCAGCAGAATCCGTCCTGGCAATCACTGAGGTCACATGTGGCAATTCAAAACCTAGGCTTCTAAAACCTTTCCCTCTGTTCTTCTTATTTAACATTTCCATCAAATAAGATGATGAACAATAAGCCCCAATGGCATTAGGCAGAACTGATGACTTTGTACCAAGAAAATTCTTAGGATCTGTTACTACATTTGACCACTACTTGTATTTAAGTTATTATAAATGTCATAATTACTAATTTTAAATCATGCTAATTAGTAAATGGACAGCAAAATGTCATATACTACATTGTTAAACTTCTTTGTATATTTTAACTTATTTTGTTTTGTCATAATTTGAGGTTAGTTTCTCTTTTGTACAATTATTATTATTTTTTTGTTTTTGGTTTTTTGAGACAGGGTTTCTCTGTGTAGTCTTGGAGCCTATCCTCTCTGTATCCCAGGCTGACCTCGAATTCACAGAGATGCGCCTGCCTCTGCCTCCAGAGTGCTGGGATTAAAGGCGTGTGCCACCATTGCTCGGCTCGTGATTTTATGCCTTTACATTATCACTTAGCAGTAGAATGCCAAACTGGTCCTTGGCATAGTGTTCTGAGCTCCACTCTTTGAAGAAGGTGACCCCGGAATCAACCTGTGGCTTCTTTCCACAGATGTGGGTGGTGCTGACATCATAAGTTCAGAGGTCACTGTGCTTTCAGTGACTGGGATTAATTGTGCTAAGCCATGAAAGTTCTAGGAACTTCTAGGATGTAGGTCAGGTCTTACAGAGACAGCCGAGAAGAAATGGAGATGCAGTGCACAACCAGCAAATGCAGCCCATCACTATAGGAACCAATGGTTCAAACACAGGGCTCCCATCCACTGCCATGGTGTACTAAAGGCAGAGATGCTCTGTGCCAGGCCTGTGGGTTTGGAGCAGTTCATACACACAGGCCATTCTGGACAGGATTTCTTTCTCTATGCTCTACTCCTTTTATTCTGATAGTTACTAAGTACTGTCGGGAGATACTGACAATGGTATGGAGATTTGCAAATTGTACACTTTATTTCCCTCATCCAACAAACACATACATATTTTTATGCGAGAGGGAAATGAGGGAGACAGTACAACAGTATAATAATTCAAGGGGCTTGTATTCCATATTCAGATTATGTCATTAGTTTTTACTACCAGCTGTGAAGCCGGGAAAACATGTATTTTTTTTTTTTGCTTCACGAAAACAAACTGATTCAGTGAGATGAAAACTGAAAATGCAAATTAAATTCTTCAGAACAACTTAATTCCCACTTTTCCCATAGCTTTGAAAAGTATTGTATGAAATTTTTACTAGTTGTTATACAGATATTTGATTTGTTGTAATAATGACTAATGCTTTTGGATTGCTATTACACCTCTTGTTCTTTTGTAAGTACAGCAGACCCATGTCTAGTGATCTGTGTTCAAGGCCACGTTTTTTTATTCTTATGCCATTTGCCTCTCTAGATATAAAACCACATACTTCTGCATTGGGAAAAGGCTAAAGAGTGTCAGTTCATGTTCAGTGTTACTTGGTGTTTAAGACACAGGCAGGTTGGGCTGAGATGTCTCCAGATGCATGAGAAACTACACAAGGAAGTGTACTGCTAGCTTCCTAAATTTACAGAACAATAATGAGAGGAAAATGAATGGGAGAAATTGGCACAGGAAATCTTAAGAGGGAAAACACTTCCTATTCAGTTCGGGTTAAAATGTAGCATTGCAAAGCAATGGTATTACACATTGTTCTTTAGTGGGCCCAAGTGTTCTTAGGACTGATTTATGCTATTGCTATTCCAACGCAATCAAAATGGATGAGATGATTTTTAAGAAAGAAAGGCAAGTGAAAACTGCAGCATTTAAAGCCATTTACTCTTATAAAATAATGTCATTAACATCGACAAGTGTGTGCTTAGAAATAGAAAAGTGTATTAAAGCCAGATTTGAGGGCTGGTGAGATGACTCACATGAGGAACAGTGGTGATTCCCAGAACCCACATCAAAGTCTGGCACAGTAGAGTGTGTCTCTAATCTCAGCACGGGGAAAGCAGAAACAGGAGAGTAACCAGAGCTCGCTGCCCTGCTAGCATTGCCAAATCAGGAGGCTCCAAGTTCAGTGAGAGACTCTGGTTCAACATGCATGATGAGGATTGAGGAAGGCACTAAATTTGGACATCTTGTAAGGAGAGATGGCTTACAGCAAGACTATGCTTCCATGGTCAAAGATCATAACAATATTAGCAACTGTTTAACAATTTTATTAAGTATAGCCTATTTCTTCAATAGGTATAAAATTAACCTGCATTCAAGGCTATAGTTCATCATTTGGTAGGCTAAAAATTAATGTTACATTAAGAAGTTTGGAAGTAAAGCTACTAGAAATCTTCAGAAGCTCACCAAAATATATATCAGATAGCACAAAGAAAATACACAGAATTGTGTTGCGTACAATAAAATTGATTTGTCTACAGGGTCATAAATCCAAAGAACTTGTTTCCCATAGGAATAAACATATTTCCACTTGACAAAGAAAGATATCTTTATCACATAGAATATAGGAAGCACACTCTCAGAAGGCCTTATATTATGACAGCATGATAAAAATCAACAGACTTTCCAGCTAGGAATTATTTTTAATATAATGAAGTATATTTTCATTTTTGTTCCAAGTTGCTCATATGTTTGTAACTTATTACAGTGGAAAAAGAAATCTTCAAAGCCCTTATGCACTTCTCAATAATAAAATCATTTCCTTTTGTTTAGACTTTAAAATACAAACTGATGCAAGTGTGCCAGCTATTTTCAGCAATTTGAAGAAGATAGATGCAGTACTCCTGGGAAAACCATAGTTCTAGAAAGGGTACTATCCAACTTGAGGTAGTTCTGCATGACAGGGGAGCTCTGAGAGTGGCCTGTTCCCATTTCTAAAGTAGCCTCAACTTTGAAACAACACTGGCTAAGCGTCTTTTCTGAACTGGTTAATAAGCATCCCACTTTGCATTATATGAAAGTCGATGACCAACAACATAAAACTGCCAATGCAAAAATAGACTAGAAGGTGTATAGCACAGGGTACTATTTCTCTTCTCTGTTCTTGAGGAAAACAGAAGTTCTATGCGACCCAGGCTTTCTACTTTTCGTTTTTAATATTTCTAGGTAGAATCTAAAAGTCACAGGATAAATAAAAACCTGCTTGGGCGCAGTATAGTCGGTGATTGGGAAGTTCATAAGAAAGTGGAGTATGGAGGTTGGGGTGATTCATGGGTGGAGCGTAGTGTGAGAGCTGAGGCTGTTCGTGTGAATGGGAGCAGGGGTAGTTTGTGTGAGACCTGGAGTGGGCGTTAGGATTGTGTGTGGGAGGAGAACAGTGGGGGACTAGGGCGGTCCGTATAGTGGAGGAACACGAGACTGGGGTAGTTTACGTGAAGGAGTCGAGTGAGGGCTGGGATGGTTCAAGCAGGGGAGTGAGGCAGGGGCTTGTCTAAGTCATTTCGGGTATAGAGTATGGTCTTCCGTGGTTCCTGTGGGGAATGGAGTATGGGATGGTGAAGTTCTTGTAGGGAGTAGAGTGGAGCCTGGAATGCTTCATGTAGGACATGGAATGGGTGCTGAGAAAGTTCCTGTGGGCATGGAGAAGGGGACTGAGGAGGTTAATGTGGGGCATCGAGTAGGGGTGTAGGTGGGGTGTGGAGTGGGAGCTGGGTGGGTCATATGAACTGGGCCAAGCAGAG